GTCCCAAGATATTAACCTGATATCCAATTAAGGAGATACTTTTTGCGAGAGTAGATCAGCTCTTAGGAAACAAAAGCCTTAGATGGCCCTACTTATCTTGAAGATACTAAATGGCGATGTCAGTTTCTAGTAATACTGATGGAACAGATCAGTATATGATAACTGAAAGGACAAAAGCTTTTGTAACATTGGCCAAGTAAAACTTAAAGACAGCATTCTGGGGCAAAATATTAGGTTACTAAACATAACCTTCGTGAAGTTTAAGATGCTTACTTATAGTAAAGCCAGATAAGTGGCTGCTTGGCTTTGAATTATCTTGAGAGAAACAGTCAGTTCCATGCCCCAACAAAAATCGGTAACCCAAATCCTGTCACCTTGGTTGGTACGGGAAGTTATTTGTTTTCTTTTGGGTCTGATACAATTTCTGTAACCCTGGGAAGGTATCAAAATAAATATTACATTAATCTTAAGAGGTATAGGGACAAGTATAGAAATAAAGAAGAATGAATTACACCAATAGTACTGTTATTTTTAGAATTAGTTTAAGAGCAGTAATAAGTTGTACAACTATTGTATTTGTGTGTGCTTTTTGTCTTCTATATAAAATGTTTGAAGTGGTAAAAAGTCATGTTAAATTTCTAGTTTAAGTTGTTTAAAGGAATTTAAGTTTGTAATCGATGTTTAAATGTTAAAGAAACAGTAATTGTGTGCTTTTTGTCTTCTATATAAAATGTTTGAAGTGGTAAAAAGTCATGTTAAATTTCTATTTTAAGTTGTTTAAAGGAATTTAAGTTTGTAATCGATGTTTAAATGTTAAAGAAACAGTAATTTTCAAGTTTTCATGTCTTAGATACAGAAGTTTAATAAACTAGCCATTAAATAAATGTAAGTATGAATAGTAATTAATGTTCCTCTCCAAATACAAAAGACTTTGTGATTTTTAAAAAGCCGAATCAATGTCAAATAGCCTAATATTATAATTCAGATTATGCCAAATATGTCCTCCAAATTTGGTAAAAACCTATTTAATAGTACCTTTTCCAAGATGTAGTTGTAGATAAACTGAAAGAGTCATGTTTATAAAGCTACAGAGTTACCATATTAGAGGTTGAAGTTCTTTTTTGTAAGGCTGTCTTGAACAATTTGAGATAGGTGTCATGGGTAATATTCCTTTCCTTCCTTATACCCAATCCTGTCACTTACAGAAAAACAGGGTTCCACTATGTCCTGCACATCTCATAGCTCTCACCTCCTGCCCATTTGGCTTTCCGAGAGCCATTAATAACTTGTCATGATATTGGTTTCTGTGCACTGTTGCCACCACCCTTAATGAACTTCTGTTCAATCAGAAGTAACAAATCTTATTGGCTGTTCCTTTAAAGGTGCCACATGCACCAGGATTATCATTGTGGTGTTTCTTGCTACCTGATGCTGCTGTAACTAGAGACCAATAGATTAGTAGTTCCCTTCCCTTCTGGAACTTCATCGCAGCTCCCTCCTACCTTTACTCCTTTCAGAGTGTTCAGAATAGGAAGCTCATTTTATTATCATCCCAGGCTATAGTTAAATCACTTATAAGCAAATTGTTAGCTTTTACAGCTGACTTTGTCCTAATACAGCCCTGTCATCTCTTTCCCAACTCAAAGGGTAATTCTTTTTTTAAAAAATTTATTTATTAATATTATTATTTTTTTACATTCTGATATGTTGTTGTGGAGCACTTGGGGGGGGGAGACAGGAAAGGGAAAGGAAATAGGGTGGGAGGAGTAGGCAGGAGGGAGGGCTTGGTTGAGGCCTGTGGAACCCCCCTCATTCTGGCAGGGGATACCAGGGGTTTCTGGCAGTGGCTCAGTGGTTGTCGCCGGACTGTTTGTGGATGTTAGGGGGGGTGTGGCTGAGGCCCTTGGGACCCCACCGCCCGAGGTGTCAAAGGGTAATTCTAACCAAACTGTAGAATGATCAAAATAAGCAAACTACCTTAAAATGCCTTTTAAATGCTTTTGTATAAGTTAAATGTTGTACATGAGTAAAAATTTGTGTATAAGTTAAAACTCAGCTCCTCTGGCCATTTTCTTTCCATTTGGCACTTTAGAATTATTTCTTATACATACCATTACGTTTTTTCTCTCTCAAGTGATAAAAAGAAAATGTACACGTTTTTAAAATAATTTAAAGGGTAGACAAAAAATTAAGAAGAATTATTTTTGTATTTGTAAATACTTTCAAGAAAAAAAATTTTTTTTTATTTTATTAATTTTTTTAATATTCTATCATGTTGCAGAGCAGTTGGGAGGGAGAGGGAGAGGGGAAAGGGAAAGGAAATGTGATGGAGGAAGGAGGAGGGGTGGGATTGAGGACTGTGGCACCCCCCACATTCCCACAGGGGAGACTGGGGGGCTTCCAGCAGTGTCTTGGTCATTGCCAGGCTCGGTGAAGATGTCAGGGCGCTGTGGAAAAAGCCCTCATCTCCCACCTCCCAAGCTCAGGAACCCGGGACCCTTCTTGCTGTGGCTCAGTAGTGGTTACTGGGCTGGCTGCTTGTGTTGGGGGGACATGGCTGAGGCCCTCAACCCCATACTGCCACAGCTCAGAAGAGCCTGGGGTGCTTCCTGTGGTGGCTCAGTGATCGTCACTGGGCTTGTTGCTCATGTTGAGGGGTGTCACCAAGGCCCTCAGCCCCCCACAACCCCGGCTTGGGAGAGCCCAGGGCACTTCCTGGGGCAGCTCGGTGGTCGTTGCTGGGCTGGTAGCTTGTGTTGGGGGTGCGTGACCGACGCCCGAGGCCCCCCACCACCCTGGCTCAGGAGAGCCTGGGGTGCTTCCTGCAGTGGCTTGGTGGTTGTTGCTGGGCTGGTTGCTCATGTTGGGGGAGCATGACTGAGGCCCTTGGCCACCCACTGCTCTGGTGCAGGAGAGCCTGGGGTGCTTCCTGTGGTGGCTCAGTGGTGGTCACTGGGGTGGTTGTGCTTGTTGGGGATGTGTGGCTGAAGCCCAAGGCCCCCACCCTCAGGACTGGTTGCAGGTGTCAGGGGAGCATGGCTGAGGCCCCTGGCCCTCCCCCTTTTCTGGTTTGGTAGCCTGGGGGACTTCTGTCCTTCTAGGTGTTATGTTCTTTGGTGAAATGATACCTTTACTAGTTAACATCAAACTTTGTCTCTGGTTGTGGGTACTTTGTTGTTTCTTTCAATTCTGTGTTGGATTATTTGCTGTTCCCACCACTCAAACTCTGTGCTGGAACTAATTTGCTGTCCTTTGCTTACTTCTAAAATGGGGGAACTTCCTGTGAGGACCAGTACTTGAGCTCTGTGGTTGATCTAAATTGTTGCTTTGCTACTGATTCCCTAAGGAAGGGTTTTTGTGCAGCTCAGGTTTTAATGGTTGACTTTATAGGTACGTCCGGCTCTTGACAGAGAGTACACCTGGGTTGTGTACAAACACTGGTCTGGGCCTGAGTCTTTTCATCAAACTCTACTCCACGCAATTCTATATTCCTGACCAGTCTCCTCTGAGTGGTCCTACACTGATTGGGGGACAGATGAGCTGTCATTGCTGTGCCCTAGTGTTCTTCCAGTGGGCCTGTCTCCCCCACCACTGGTGTGCCAAACACTTCTCATGGGACAGGCCATGCTCCGGTCCCTTGCAATGACTTAGCAGCCTCTGAGTGGCTCCTTTTTTTGAGTTGTTGTGGCTCCTCAGTCCTTTGTGGGTCCACAGGAATCCTATTAGTGGTATTGCTGGCCTGGGGGCCACCAAGGCCCTCTTCTCCCCTGCTGCCTCCAAGCAACTTCATCTGAAAGGCACAGCTGCAGCCTTTTGCCAGCTCCCACTCTGTGCACTTAGCAGCTCCAGCCTGGAAACGGCTGGGATTCGAAACAATTGCAGGGGTTTTTTTTCTTTCTCTCATCATGGTTTCTCCCACCTTCATGCACTCCGTAGGTCTCTCCTCCTCTTCCCCTGAGCTCTAGGGGCCGCAGCTTGGTTGTCATTGCTTATTTTATTTTATTTTTTTTGTCTTTTTCCGTGTCCGGCAACGGATCGCAACCCTCAGTGTTGCCCCCACACCGGACCGGGGACCGGCAACGGGATCGCAACCCTCGGCGTCGCTCCCGCACCTCGCTCAGCCAGTGAGTGGGAACCGGTCCGCATGTGGGATCCGAACCCTCGGGCGGGAGCGCCGCCGCGCTTCCCAAGCGGTGCACTTATCCAGTGCGCCACCGGGCCGGCCCTGTCATTGCTTTTTTATAGTTGTAAATAGGTTGATTTGTGGGAGAGAGTGACGCTGGGGACCATCTATCCTGCCATCTTGACTGGAAGTCTAGCCTTTCAAGAAAATTTTGTAGTTAGAAAATGAGAATTCCTTCTAAGTGTGTTCATTTTTATAGTAATCAAATTACTATAAAATATTTTATTAATTTATCAAGTTTTAAAAATAGTAACTATTGGCTTAAAAGAATGATCATTTTGATGATTAGATTATTAAAGACAACATGGGAGAAGATGTCTTTGAGTGTTCTTTCTGTATAATTCAGAGAAGGGGGAAGAGTATGAAATCTTTTTCTCTGATTTTGAATTCTTATTCCCCCAGGATCTGAAAGCTTATTTTAAAAGACTTAAAAGATATTTGAGGAGATATCTATTGTTTTAAAATGTTTCTTTCATTGGTATCAAATTTTAAGCAACAAGAGATATAAAATTCTAAATAGCATAAGATATAAACAGTAAAACATTTGTACTTCAACACTGCTTAGCACAAAAGATTTTAAAGGAAGGATAAGAAATTATTTATTCTTGACTTTTTGCTCATCATCCTCATGATCCAATTACCACCCAAAGGTTCCACCTTTCAAATGCCATACTCTGATTTCCCACCCTTTTAACACTATTACAAGGGGGACCACACTTCAGTGAGTATTGGCGGGTAAGGGATCCAAACCTGTGACCTTGGGGTTATAAGGCTGTGCTCTAACCAACTGAGCTAACCAGCCCATTAAACCGTAGCAATGATGTATGCCTGTATGATGTTTATAAAATATTTGATATGTCACTTGAATGTCTGAGGGAGTTCAAGTTATATGATTATGAAATGACCAACAAGGCATGTTTTTAGAGCTTTAATAAAACTGGAATGAAAACATATTGTTCTTTTCTAGGGACTGAGGCTGAAAATCTTGAAGTTTTGCCACACTCGGAAAAGGTTGGTCTGTATAATAAAGACTAGCAGTGTAGATCATGGACTTAGATTTTTAAAAAAATAATGTTGATTGAAGTATCCAGCTCAGTTAGACTCTCCTCTAAGAAGGAATGTGACTAATCATTTTAATAGATAACTTGTCTAATAACTTCTTCCAGTATTTATTCTTATCTCTAGTAAAATAATGTTTTCTTGATCTGTGTTTTTTATTCAGTAGTGTAAGTCTCTTATTCTTTATCTAGAGAAGTATATAACTTGTTATCAAACTGGTCCCTGAGATGAAATAGCAAAATTCCTCCCGTTGGTTTGTCTGTTACCCTAGTTACCTTAATATTTTGTGCTAGATATGCTTTCCCATTTTCTAGTTGATAATCAGTATCAAGTACCTACATAGGCTTTGCTTTCTACTCGGTGCTATGGGGAATCAGAGGGCTTGCTCTGCCCACAATGGACTCACATAGTGATACCAAGCAATCAAAGACCTCCCCAGGCCAGACCTAACATACCTGTACTTTACTTCACTCAGTTGTTGTTTACACTTTCCTGTCTTCATATTTTGCTTAAGTCAGGAGCCAGAAGGCAGGGGAAAGAGCATAAAATTTGGAACCAAACGGGTCTAGGCTCCAAGGACAACTCTGTTGTTTACATCCATAAAATACTGATAGTGATATCCATCTCACAGAGTTGCTGTGATGAGTTCATGGTGTCTGGCATCTAGTTGGTGCTTAATATTTGTTTTTCCCTTCTCTTACTCCTTCACAAATCTTTAATTCTGGCTCAAGTCTTTTCTCCTCTGTGGATCTGTTCCAGGTGACTCTGGTGCTCTTGACCAAAGTGATTGTTCTCTTTCTAGCATTCATTATTCACTGACTATATCAGTATGTCCTAATCACTTGTACCCCATGACATTAATAGCTCTTCTAAGTAAACAGATTTTTTAGACAAAAACGTTTGGGGAACACTGTCCTAAATTCTCCTCAGAGGTTTACAATGTACATGTTCTGAAAAGTCCTGTGGAAAAGTAAGTTGTTTAACTTTGTTTAACCAAGCATTTTTCAAATAGTCATGAAAACCCTCCACTGCACCCTCTACCACCCTATCCCCAGGAAACTTATTCTTGCAGGATGCTGGTCTCTATGGAACTGTTTAATATACACTGGTTTATGCAACTCATTTGATTTTATAATTATTCTGACATTATTTATATTCTATTTAATGTCTTAGGTATTTATGCCTTCAATCTTAAGTTACAAATTAAGTTTTTTAGGACAGAGCCCAACGTATGCCTTGAATTTAGTAAACATAAGGACTTCAAACAGGAGGGAGGCTTTGAGCTGTGACTTAAAGAATGGGTAGGAGCTAGTTCTTAAATTCCTTCCAAATTCCTTTTATCTTTCTGAGCAAATTATAGTTAACATTACCAATAAATAAATGTATCTTCTTAAGCTCTGTATGCTGTAAACAGAGAAGGTAAATGGTGGCAGGTAGAAAAGGACAAGAGGAAGATAAAACATTTTTCTTATTCAAGTCAGGCCAGAATATTAGAAGACTTACAAGTTACAGTGCATCTTGTCAAAGAGGTGGTGGATTTGATTTTCGGAAAAAGTCAAAGTCATTGAAACCCATTCTGTTATTTAAGGTCAAACAAATATTAACAGTTTTTAAAGTGTTGAAAAACATTTTAGTACCTTTAAAGTACATTATTTTCTGGAATGGCTTATAAACTGATTTTGAAAGCAATTTCAAAAGAGAGATGCTAATAATATTTTGAGCATTGGAAACCTTGTAAGAACAAGTATAACCTATTAAGATGATGTCTTTGAAAGATAATAGTCATTTAGAAATATAAGTTTTGTGTTTTTTATTTAAAACAACCACAACCCAGAGCCATTCATTTATAGCCAGGGCTTGTAATATTTACATAGCACTCATTTCTCCTCCTTTTCCCTCTGACCTCTTATCCTTTGGCTTTTTTACTTCACATACACATATTCATACAAATGTGGGGAGTGCGAAATTACACCAATTTTATTCCTAGTAAATAATTTTTATAAAACCAAATGGAAATTTTTTGGTAAGGGAGCATTTTATAACAATTAACTGCTGTGAAGTTTTGAGATCATCTGTTAATTTAACAATCCAAGCCATCTCTGCCTCTTCTGTTAGTACAGATAATTTAAACAAAACTGAATGGATAATTTGCCACCTGTAATTATGGTCCAGCCAGTTTTACTCTTGGTCCACTGCTAAATGTTTAACCATATATTCAGTCACCAGTGATTTGGTATAGAAAAGTAGTAAAGAATATTCTTTTTATTTATGGAAGGGGAAGAGAATTTACAAAACTATTTGAGGGTAACTTATAAACAAGACGAACTATAAAACTATAAAGTGTTTGTTTATAATACGTTTTTGTATATGCTGTACTGATGGAATCTCTATTTGGAATATACAGGAACTAAATGAAGACAGAGACTTCCCTGAAATTAGTCTTCTTTCAGATACTGCTCTTACAGTATCTGATATGGTTGCTGTAGAGGAGAAATCACTAATAGAGCCACAAAAGATCTTAGCAGCACAAAGTATATTTTCTGAGCCTGGAAAGGAAGTCACACTGACCATGACTTCTGAAGAAACCATGGATGAAGCAAGCTCCCTTGAAACTTTTGTGCCTGCCTTGGAAAGGCTACTAACATCACCAGAAAGCACCCAGGAAGAAAGACTGTTTGAAATAATGAATAATTTTGATCCTAGAGAGTTGATGAACCCATTGAGTGACTCTCTAAGTTCCATATCAATACCTTTGAATGCCTTGTCAGCACCTCATAGAGATTTACTAGAAAACACAAAGGATGATGATGCATTGCCAGCTGAGTTGTTGGCAGCCCTGAACACATTGTCAGAAGCCAAGGTGGGACCCATCTGTCATAGAAAAGAGGGAGGCAGTCGTCCCAGTGCTGGAAATAAATGTTTAGAAGTGGAGCCCAACATGTCTCAGACTGATGAAGACTGTACACAAATAGAGGTGAATTTTGAGTCTCTTCTTTTTACTCCACTGTTTGAACAGGGTTCCAGGTTAGCTGAATTGCAGGTCAATCATCTATCAGTGGAGCAAATAGGTGCAAGTATGAGTCTATGATTTTGCCTTTTATAGTGACCTTTAACAAGTGTTCATTGTGTTAAATTTAAATCTTCTATCCAAGTATCAATACCCAGAAGATACTTTGTGACTTTGAAGCATGCAGTGATCTTTCTAGAAGTTCCTAGAGTAGAATTTTCAAGGAGTTAAAAACTTAAAATGGATAGATTTCTCCCCAGTAAATGTGAGAAGACATATCATTAGATTGTTTATATATAGGAAGGAAAAAATTCTTTACCAGAATTTTCTCTGTTAGCTCAGAAAATCACTATATCTACCTAGGTACAGAGTAGAGCTGGGACACCCCACATTAATTTATAGTTGGACATAGAATATATGTAGTTGGGCTGCCAGGAGAGGGAAAAAAAATTATTCCTAGCTTAAGCAGAGCTTTTCCTTCTATGTCTGAGAATACTGCCAGGTGGCACAGTTCTTGGGTTTTAGAATTCCTGCTGTATTGTGCCTGGGTGCCCTAAAGTGGCCTTCCACTCGACAAGTCCCTTTTTCATGTTGACAGTTTTTTTCTTTTATAAATAATCTTTATTTTCATTTTCCTAATTATAGTAGTAATACATCCTCATTATAAAAAAACTTCAAATATTACAGAATTACATAATAACATAGCAACAAAGAGTCCCCAACAGTTCCATTCTTTAGAGATAATCGCTGTTAGCAGTTTGTTGTGTCTGTCTCCAGTTATTCCTATCATATTCTATGTAAGTTTATATCATACAAGTGGCATTATACATAATGCTTTGCAACTTATTATTATTCTGTTAGCAGTTTGTTGTGTCTGTCTCCAGTTATTCCTATCATATTCTATGTAAGTTTATATTATACAAGTGGCATTATACATAATGCTTTGCAACTTATTATTATTATTTATTTATTTTTTTCCTTTTTGTCTTTTTTCGTGCCCGGCAACGGATCGCAACCCTCAGTGTCGCGCCCGTACCGGACCGGGACTGGCTACGGGATCGCAACCCTCGGTGTTGCTCCCGCACCTCGCTCAGCCAGTGAGCGGCCGGTCTGTATGTGGGATCCGAACCCTCGGCAGGAACGCCACCACGCTTCCCAAGCGGCGCACTGTAGCAGTGCGCCACCGGGCCGGCCCTCAACTTATTATTTTAAATTTAATAAAATCTTGATTATCTTTTAGTGTTAGCAAATGTAGCACTACTTAAATCTTTTAACTTGCTGAATGGTATTCCGCTCTATGAATATATTGTAATTTATTTAACCAGTTCACTAATGATGGTCATTTAGATTGTTTGCTTTCTTTTCTTTTGGCTGTTACCAAAATGAACATCCTTGGCAAGATTTAGGTAACAATGCTGAGATCATGTTGCAATATACACACCTGGAATAATACTGCGTGCAGTTCTAGTTAACAAATCTCAAAACAGACATAATAGGACTAAAAAAAAAAATCCACAGAAAGAGAAACTGATCATGGAGATAGGGCAAGAAGATGAAACATTCCACTGGTCTGGCTTCTAACAGACCTATGAAAAGAGGGAATATAAGTAAAGTATAGGAAATTATGATTGGTATTGATAAAGTGAGCACGAAGTTAACAAGTCTTCAAAAGAATAGAAAAAAGAAACCCTTTTAAAAGTAGAAAGGAGATTTATGTAGAACAGATCAAATTACTCTTTTACTCAGCTGTAATAAAAATATGGAACTTGTTACCTTGAGAAGTTTTGAAAGTGGATATATAAATAAACTCAAGAAAAGTTTAGATGATATGTATAAAAAAAATATCCTCACATAAATTAAATCTATAATGGGTTATTAAAGGGAAGTTAGAAGAATTCATGATATACTGTTAACCTTTTAAAATCAATGTTATGTAGGTTATGTACTGTCTTATCCCACAAAAATATCACTTACTGCTGCTGTCAGATAACAAAATACTGGGCTGAATAGACCATTAATCTTGGCCTATATGACATTTCTAACGTTTTTTTTTTTCTTTTTTGTCTTTTTTCATGACTGGTAATGGGATTGCAACCCTCGGTGTCGCGCCCGCACCGCGCTCAGCCAGTGAGCGGACCGGTCTCTATATGGGATCCGAACCCTCGGCGGGAGTGCCGCCGCGCTCCCAAGCGCCGTACTCTACCGAGTGCGCCACCAGGCCGGCCCTCTAATGTTTTTATGAGTCTCTCATCATTCTATTCTCATCACTCATTTCCTGAAAAATTAAAGCACCCAGAGTGACCATAATTTTGCCCTTGCATTTTAAGAATGAATGTTGATCAAAGTCATATTTACTTATGCTTGTCTTATCTTAAGCTCTTAAATCTGTATTGTCCTTTATTACATTATTATAAATTGTTTTATTATGTTCTAATATATCTACAAATTTTTGTACTTTCATCTTAGAGAGGCATTTTAGTTTAATCAAAGGGTAAGATAAAATTTAATTTCTTCTAGTTTTAATTTTTTTGCAGTGTTGTAATTGTGGATGTATTTATATTTTTACAGATTCCAGAAGACACAAATCTATTTGTATTGCAAACTTTGGCTCATCAAAATGTCACCTCTTGTGAGCCTCAAAATAATAAGGGAAATTCAAATGCAGGGGGAAATATCTGTGACCAGGAAACTGTGTGTGTGTTAAGGAGATCATCCAGACTGGAAAAACTGAAAGTAAGCAGAGATGCAAAGCACACACCTGACATGTATAAGATGCCAGAAAAGATTTCAACAGAAATACTTCCTGGTGAGGATCGAACAAATAATAAATCTTCAACTGAGAATTTCAGGTATGCTACCAAATTATAGCTTTCTCTCCAGGTATGCTACAGACCTTCTAGATAATTATGTGCTTGGAGACAGTAGGGTCAGTGTACGGTTACCCATAAGTAAAGAGCTTTACTTTTCTTATGTTGCCGCCTTTTTTATTTCGCAGTTTTTGATCAGTGCCATACCACATAGCAAACACTTTTTTTTTAGATGAGTGGATATTGGCATGTCAACTTGGAGAGTGAGGGGTAGAAACGTCAAAATACTCATATTCGTAGGTGATTACTCCTAGAATAGAGAAACCCACAGGTGGCACAAAGAGAAGGCTAGAAGCATAATGACTGGCATGCCTATCATAGAATTATCTGCAGTTTATTCAGGAGCCATTTCCATATTTAAAACTGCCATGCACTTGTAAAATATCTTTAAGTTTTAAAATTTTAGTCAAAATTTGGTGAGATTCTCTGTGAATGCTTGTAGACAACATTATAGTATTTAAAAAAATACATTTATTTTTCAAGAATGCAGGATCCTGCCTTAATGATTGAAGGCAAAGGGAAGAATATGCATTCGTCCAGATCCAAGAGTAAAGGACAGATCAGGAAAAACAAACAACTTACGGGAAAAAATGGTGAGGCATAGTTTGAGTATTTCTCTATTTCTTTAAGTAGTAACTTACAGAATCATAGAATTCTGGTAGAAAGAATTTAGACATTATCTCAACTTTCTTATTTTACTTATGAAGAAACTGAAGTTCAGAGAGGTTAAGGATTTTTCCCATCATCACACAGCACATTAAGAGTATAACTGAGATTTTATCCTATATCATAGGCTGGTATTTTTTTCTATACTTCTACTTCAGAGAGAATAGTCATAGAACTGTTTTCAAATTTAGACTTGTGACCAATCTATCATAAGACTATGAGATGCATACCAAGAGGAATAGAGGAAAGAAAAGGAAAATTGTCATTATTCTTATATCTTATTCCTGTGTTCCTATAACACCCAAAAGATTGAGCTAAAAGACTCTTAGAAACAATAAGAGAATCTAGAAACACTGGTTTAAAAATGACATATAAAAACCTTACTATAGAACTAATAGATAGTGGGCCGGCCCGGTGGCGCACTGGAGAGTGCGCCGCTTGGGAGCACGGCAGCGCTGCCGCCGAGGGTTCGGATCCCATGTGGAGACCGGTTCCCGCTCACTGGCTGGGTGCGGTGCGGGTGCAACACCGAGGGTTGCGATCCCGTTGCCGGTCCCCGGTACGGGCGCGACACCGAGGGTTGCAATCCCATTACCGGTCAGTAAAAAAGACATAAAAAGGAAAAAAAAAAATAATAGGTAGTGAACAATTGGCAAAATTGAAATATGCACTGTCGACTAAATAATAACATTGTATCAATGTTAAATTTTCTGAATTTGATAACAATACTGTGGTTATACAAGAAAATGTCCTTGTTCTTAGAAAATATACACTTAAGTATTAGTGAGTAAAAAGGCCTGGTATATAAAAGTTACTCTTCATGTGTATATGTATCTGTACATGTATTTATATATAAAGAGGGAGATAGAATGATTTAAAGTTGTAGCAAAATATTAACAATAGGAAAATCTCTTTTCTGTTTTTACAACTTTTCTGTAAGTTTTCAAAGTAAAAGTTGAAAAAATTCAAAAAACCAAAAGAAGACAAAAATTAGTACTTTGCGTATATGTAAGTATTAGTTAGGAAATATGAGATGTCATTTATAATTGTTATAAAAGAGATAAAATACCTACTTATAAGAAATATGCCAGACCTATAAGAAGAGAGGTTAAAAATTCTACCGAGGGACATTAAAAAATGACTTGAATGAATGGAAAGAAGTGCCTTGTTCTTGACAAGAATATTCAGCACTGTAAGAGACTTACTTCTCCCTAAATTACTCTATAAATGCATGAGATCTCAACCAAAAACAGAGTTTTGTTTATTTAATAATTTTTTTAAAATTTGCTTTTGCAGGGCTGGAGGATATAGCTATGAGAATGTTATAAAATGATACTGAATTTCAGCTGGAGAAGTAAATATGAAAGACTAGCCAATAAAATTCTGAAAAATAAAAGCAGAGGGAGGGTAGAGTGGCAGAACCCTGTTCTACTTTATAATATGAAAGCATATTAGAAAGCTGTAGAAAGTAATTTGGCACTGGGTACATAAATAGCCAGAAAAATAAATGAAACAGTACAGAGTTTAGATGTAGAAGCCAGATACAACAGGAATATGGGGGCAGATATGTGATAAAAATGGCATCTCAAATTGGTGGTGACAAGGGGGATTAAACAATAAATAGTGAAAAACACAAAAAAAATTGGATCCCAGCACTGCAGGAGGTGCCCTGGGCTCTCCCGAGCCAGGGCGGTGGAGGGCCAAGGGCCTCGTCCATACCCCACCCCCGCATGAGCAACCAGCCCACAGGAGGCACCCCAGGCTGAGGGTCTTGACCACGGGCCTCCACACCCTCAATTAGCCCAGTGACAACCAGCAAGTCTCAGCAAGAAGGACCCTGGGTTCCTGAGCTGGGGTGGTCGGGGGCGAGGGCTTTTGCCACACCCCATTGACATCTGCACCCAGCCTGGCAATAACCAAGCCACTGCTGGAAGCCCACCAGTCTCCCCTGTGGGAATGAGGGGGGTGCCACAGGCCTCAATCCCACTCCTCCTCCTTCCTCCTTCTTCCATCCTATTTCCTTCCCCTTTCCCCTCTCCCTCTCCCTCTCCCTCCCAACTGCTCTGCAATGATGTTGTAGAATGAAAAAAATAATATTAATAAAATTTTTAAAATACATAATAAAAAATTAATTTTTTAAAAAAAATTGGATCTCCTGTAACATTTCTTATATTGAATTTAATTCCAGGTTAATCAAAGATTTAAATGAAAAAAAAAAGGTCTAGAAGAAAACATATGTGAATCTTTTTATAATCTTGGTATGGAAAAAGTTTTTCTAAAGAATGATTCAAATCCAGAAGCCACTAGGGAAAAGAATGATAAAATTGACTACATACATTTAAAAAATATTATATAGAAATATACCTTAAAGAAAATAAAACATCAAATAGAGAAGAAATATTAGTATCAAGAGATTATTTGCATTAGCATGCAGAAAGCTCTTTTGAAACAGTAAGGATAAAGAACAGGATGGATATGTCTATCATCTTGATTGTAGTGATGGTTTCATGGGTATATACTTATTCTCAAACTCATTGAGTTGTATACATTAAATAAGTACAGCTTTTTACATGTCATAATAATAATAATAACAATACAAAGCTTGAACACTGAAAAAAAAAGAGAGAAAGAACAAGAAAATAGGTATGGGACATGAACAAGTAGTTCACAGAAAGGAAAAAAAAAGTATATATATATATATATATATATATATCACCCGAATCCAGTAGTGTTGAATTAGGACTTCAATATAGGAGTTTTGAGAGGACACAGTTTAGTATGTAGCATCTTCAATGGTGAATTCTACCAGACACTTAAGGGAGGAATAATACCAGATCTCTACAAACTCTTCCAAAAAGTTGAAGGTGAAGAAACACTTCCCAGCTCATTTTATGAGGCCACCATTAAACTAATACCAAGAGTCTTTTTGTAGAGGCTTTAGACTGTTCAATATATAATACCAAGAGTCTTTTTGTAGAGGCTTTAGACTGTTCAGGATCATGTCATCTGCAAACAGGGACAGTTTGACTTCATCTTTTCCAATCTGGATGCCCTTTATTTCCTTCTCTTCTCTGATTGCTCTGGCTAGTACTTCCAACACTGTGTTGAATAGGAGTGGTAAGAGTGGGCATCGTTGTCTAGTTCCTGTTCTTAAGGGAAAAGCTTTCAGCTTTTCCCCATTCAGGATGATATGGCAGTTTATCATATATGGCTTTAATTATGTTGAGATACTTTCCATCTATACCCAACTTGTAGAGAGTCTTTATCATGAACGAGTGTTGAATTTTATCAAATGCTTTTTCAGCTTCTATAGAGATGATCATACAGTCCTTGTGTTTGATTTTATTGATATGGTGTATCACATTTATTGATTTGTGTATGTTGAACCAACCTCGCATCCCTGGGATGAATCCCACTTGATCATCATGTATAATTTTGCATATGTGTTGCTGTATTCTGTCAGCTAGTATTTTATTGAGGATTTTTGCATCTAATACAACCCCAAAAGCACAGGCAACCAAAGGAAAAATAAANCACATGTTCTCACTTATTTCTGGGAGCTAAAAATAAATAAATACACAAATAAACTGTGGAGGAGGGAAGAAGACACAATAATTACAATTCCTTGACAAGCAAATAGGTATGAGGTTGTTGGGCGGGAGGGGGGAGAGGGAGGAGGGAGGGAGGTTTCGGTAATGGGCCACAATAATCAACCACATTGTATATTTACAAAATAAAATAAAATTTTTTTTAAATGATACCAAAATCAAATACATTACAGGAACAGAAAACTATAGACTAATATTCTTCATGAATGTAGATGCAAAAGTTCTAAGCAAAATTTTAGCAAATCCAACATTACATAATACGTCATGACCAAGTATTGTTTATCCCAGCAATTCAAGGTTGGTTTTTACATTTGAAAATCAATCACTGTAATTCATTATATGAACAAGCTAAAAAAGAGAAACCATATGCTTATCTCAGTAGATGTAGAGAAAGCATTTGACAACATTTAACATCCACTTCTGGTGAAAACACTCAGCAAACTAGGAAAAGAAAGGAACTTCTTCAGCCTCACAAAGAGCAACTACAAAAAACATCCAGCTATCATATTTAATGGTAAAAAATGAAATGTTTTCTCTCCGTAAGATCAGGAATAAGACAGGTATGTCTACTCTTACCACTTCTGTTGAACATTGCACTGGAGGTTCTTGCCAGTGCAATCAGGAAGAAAANCTGCTGGGAATATACCCAGAGGAATGGAAATCATCAAGTTGAAGGTATACCTGCTCTCCAACGTTCATTGAAGCACTCTTTACAATAGCTAATAGCTGGAACCAGCCCAAATGTCCATCATCAGATGAGTGGTTGTGGTATATCTACACAATGGAATACTACTCTGCTATTAAAAAGAATGAAATATTGTCATTTGCCAGCAGCATGGATGGACCTAGAGAGAATTATATTAAGTGAAACAAGTCAGGCAC